GAAGTCGTGGCCTAATGGTTAGAGAATCGGACTCGTAACCCAAGGTTGTGGGTTCAGTCTCGTACCGGCAGGGATTGCAGGTGGGGGGAGTGAATGTACAGCGCTCTCTCCCACCTTCAATACCACGACTGAGGTGCCCTTGAGCAAGGCACCGAACCCCCAACTGCTCCCCGGGCGCCGCAGCATAAATGGCTGCCCACTGCTCCGGGTGTGTGTTCACAGTGTGTGTGTGTTCACTGCTGTGTGTGTGCACTTTGGATGGGTAAATGCAGAGCACTAATTCCGAGTATGGGTCACCATACTTGGCCACATGTCACATCACTTCACTTTAAAAGGCACAATTACCTTTTTTCGTGGCAGAAATAAGCTTCTATATCAGATTTTGGAACTGACGGAAAATTGCACATGCAACAGTGGAATGCAAACCGCTGGCTGTTGCTCAGGAGCCACTTTGTTTCCTAAGGCTGCTGTAAATGGACTTCATGATCCATGTTAATAGCGATGAAATTACCAAGTACTTTGTCATGTGATTGGAAAAAGGCAGGTAATTGTGTTAGAACAAAGACTGTGATTGTAGTAGCTGGTGCACTGGGAACGCCGGGCATCATACAAGATACTTTACTGTGGTTAAGATATTGTTCTGTTTCTTACATGAGCAACGTTCTTTTTGCATTGATTGATGCTTGTTTGAAATGGCTGCTATATGAGAATGTTTATCTAGTTATAGGTTATCGAATAGCTTGAATAAGAGAAACTTTTAGGGTACCAGCTCTTTGTGGGTATAAAAGTTTCTGCCAAGATTAAACAGACGTAAACGGCTTTGCGATGAGAGTGCGTTTAAGCTTCTCACAGTTCTCAGTCTTAAGGGTTAAATGCAGATCAAAGCTATGAGATTGATTTTGAGTCCCACAGAGGGCCCATAATCTACTCTACTTCTGGCTCCTTTCATCTGTACTCTTAAGGTTGATTTCGGGTTGAAACAAACACAACAGCAAGAGTAGCTTGTTGCTAAATACACAAGGCAATGATATACTGCAGAGGAAGTTAATGCTTGAAGTTGATGCCTTAGTAATGAAGTTTTGCACTACCTGTGAGGAGTTAAATGAATAAATGCTGTTCCAAACCCATATGATTTTATTTCTTTCGTGGACCCCAAAACAGAAAATCCTGGCTGCTCTTTTCCGTACAATGAAAGTGAAGGATGAGACTGTCACAGCCTAAAAATTTAAAGTAAAATATGATGCATATAAACCTAGGTTTGATGTCAGATGGCATTTGTTCTTTCATGTCTCATTGTTAATGGCAAACTTGGTGTAACCTGTTTTGATCTATCTTATTTCAATGTGAACAGGCAAAGTTTTTTGAGCAAATAACGCTTGCACTCTTTGTCTGTTCTTAACATAATTGCTTTAGAAGGCATAAAATATTGTGCACAAAATATATAGATACTTTTATTGTGCTTTATATCATCTTTGGAGCTCAACAGCCAAAATATATCATGCACGCTTTCTACAAAAATATTAAGCAGCATAGCTGTTTTCAGCACTGATAATAAAGTCGTCTTTCTTAAATGATTTCTGAAGGATCATGTGACACTGAAGACTGGAGTGATGGCTGCTAAAAATTCATCTGTGCCATAACAGGAATAAATTACATTTGAAAACACATTACAACAGAAAACAGTTATTTTAAATTATATTTGACAATATATTTTGACTGTATTTTTGTCAAATAAATGCAACCTTTGTGACCATAAGAGATTTCTTTAAAAAATGCACTGATCCAAAATGTCTCGATTAAATTTTTTGTGATTTACAGGGATTTCGTAATGAATTATGCTCAGATTCAGTAATTACAGTGTTAGTTTAAGGGTCAAACAGGCGTTATATAGATAAGTCATGTAATCCAGATAGAATTTGGATCGAATCCTTCTGTTTTAAGCAGTTTGAAAGAGCAGTTTGTTTTTGAGCTGCTTATAGAGAGCTCAGACTTGTTCTCATCAGTTTCTATGCAAGTAACGATATGCAGACCTGGGCTGCTTAAATATTTACACACCTCTAATGCTCTCGGCCTAGTCCTTAGAAGTGCTGCCCTCTCTATACATTAAACAGACTGTCCTTCCAACCATGACGGCTCTAGTCTGGCGTACTGACTCTGAGCTGAAGTGAAAGGAACAACTTTGGCTTCTGAAAAGACATTTACTGACTGCCAAGACAATGAGGCACATGAAAGCCAAGTTACGTGTCCTTAGTGAGTTTTTAGGACTAAAGATCTGTTGCCAAAATAGCTGAAGGAGAGATTATGTACAGTTGTAGCAGGGAGCGGAGACAGAAACAGTATGACACTTTTGTTGAAATAAAAATAGAAATAAAAGATGTGGAAAGTTTGCCTAGAGAAGTGAGAACAGAGGATTGTTGTGTTCTTACTCTGGTTGTCATAGTCAAAACATCATGATGACAGTCTCATTGTCTCCTGTCATCCGTTTGTATTACCTCAAGCACAGCATCATAATTAATGAACCGATCTTTTTAAGATCTTGCCAGACTGCCGGTCTATTGACATTGGTTAAGGCATCCACTTCGGACATTGCAGTGCTCATGATAACTTTCGTTAACTCTACAATAATTAAATTAATTTAAATGGATTTATGAAACTTACAAGTTAATACTCAATATTATTACAGTATTTATCCCTGATATAACAACAACAACAACAACAATAATACAACGTGTATACCAGTCACAAGGACATATAGTAATAATAATGATAATAAATAACAATAACAATAAGACAACACTATAATTAAAAAAATAATAATCAAGTATTGACTCTCATGTTCAGAGAGGAACTCTGGGGAGTCCTAATTTTTTTTACTAACATTGATTCCTGGAAACAAATTAGAGCAGGCAGTATTTCTGCTATTGTACTGTAGTTTTGGGGAATTAAAATTTGATCGTGGGTTAGTGTGGCCCCATGGCCCAATCTCCATCACCAGCTGTTTCCATGTCTGTAATTCCACCAAACAGCCCACCATGTACAATCATTCCCATAATCCTCTGTAAGTCTGTCTGTGGCCTGCTTTTGCCTAAATAAATCCTATGGATCTCTTCCCTCAATTGCTTTTAAGTGCAATGAGTACTACATTGAGCCTCACGTGATGTATACAAAGAATTTTGGGTCTTGAAGTCTGTTAATGGAACATCAGTGCTCAATTGTTATTTCATGCATAAAAAAATGAATATTCTTCATTTGTATTGTTTTATGTGTTATGACGTTTACATCTTGACTCATTGCACACCACGCTTCTGATCATTGCATCAGAATTGACATCTTAATGTATAAATAGTTTTCTTGGTTTGTTTGGTATGCTTTTTCAAGAATGCATATATTTTAATTCAAAACTGTAATAAAGAAAGAAAGAAAGAAAGAAAAAGAAATTGGAGTGATGCATTCCAGCCCTATATAATAATGCAAATTGGTCTAAAATGTAAGATTTGCTTGATAATTAGTGTTCATTATGTTAATGGTCGCATTATGTTAAATAGTGTTTATCTACTCAAATCAACCACTGAGAGGACTTCCAGGTGTTCATATTAGAACAGAAATGATTGTAGTAATTCAATGTTACAGAATGGAAAAGAATTTAAGATTTGAGTAAGTTACTCATTGATCTTTTAAAGGGGTCATATGATGCGATTTCAATTTTTCCTTTCTCTTTGGAGTGTTACAAGCTCTTGGTGCATAAAGAAGATCTGTAAAGTTGCAAAGACTAAAGCCTCAAATCCAAAGAGATATTCTTTATAAAATTTAAGAGTCAACCACACCTACCTAAAACGGCTCGTTCTAACACGCCCCCACATATCTACGTCACTGTGTGGGAAGATTTGCATAACGCCGGCCAAATGTTCACACAAAGAAAGAAGGCGTAACTTTTATTCTCGCTGTAGTATTGTAGCTGCCACCATGTCGTGAAGGCACTGTGTGTTTCGTTGTGAAAGTGAAACTACTTTGTTTGGCCTTCCAAAAGAGGACGATATCCGCTTAGTCATGCCTAGAGCTGACCGCGGCCTGCCCCGTCCTCAAGCCCGCCCGCCTCTGCTCACTCTAACCCGCCATGTGAAACTACTTTGTTTGGCCTTCCAAAAGAGGACATGACTAGAAATCACTGGTTAATTTGTATTTACAACACTGTTCCAGAACAATATTCATTTGTGCACATTTTATGGAGGACTGTTTCCTGATCCTGGAAGAGTAGACTACAATGTCGGCTGTTCTGACTCAAAGACTGTAAATACGTTTTCATTTAAAGGATTTGCCACTGACGATTCAAACGCGAGTTTTGAGCAGTGTAGAGTAGCACTTGTTTGTCATTTCTCCGATCACAAATGCAGACATGGTTTTATGTTTACGCGGCGCGATGCAACGCAACACGTAAAAACACAGTATAAGTCATTATAATCCGTAATTATGTCCCCACTGGATGCAACAAATGCCTCGTTTGTAATGAGTTTTCATGTTTTTGAATCGTTGCTCTGGCTGGACAAGGGGTAAGGTAAAGGGCGTAACATTTCCGTCACATGCATGAGGTGCGCACTGGATAGCTGGCCAATCAGAGCACACCTCGCTTTTCAGACCGATGAGCTTTGTAAAAATCGACTCGTTTCAGAAAGGCGGGGCATAGAGGAGAAACAATAATGTACAGTATGTGGAAAATAAACACGTTTCATTACACCAAACACACCAAATAATTTTAGCAACATCATATGACCCCTTTAATCTTTTATTTTACAATTAAAATAATAATAATTTACAGCCTGTCTATTTTTATCTATATACGGGAATTGCATGTCAATAAATATTTTTTTTCATTGTGGTTTAAATGTCCAAACAGCTCTCATCCTCGTTTTCTAACTACATTTCCCATACAAACATACGCCCCAACGTTTGCGCATGCGTCAAGCCCCCAAGCCTAAAAGGGATGACGTCACCTGCCTGTCGGATCGCGCTGTATTGTTGCACAGGGGACTGAGAGCGCACGAGCCCAGAGCGTTCGCGGGGAGGATGGGACTGTTTACAAGGTAACTTCTCAATCTCAGACCTCAAACTGACAGCTACATGACACGTCCAGAAAAACAAATAGTATAAATACAGCCGACTTTGGACTTCTTTTGAAGTGATTTGGCTTTAAAGGGTGGGACATAGAGATGCATGCAAAATCGGCGGTTCAGTGGGCGAATGACTCTCGTCTAATTTATAAAACAAATGAAATACGTTTGTTTGTATTGAAACCCTGTCTATTTGATTTGTTCACTTCAGAAACTGCACTTCATAGTGTTTTTCTTTAGTCTACTGCCAACTCATGACAGTTTGATACAATGTTGCCATTTCAAACTCGTTTACATGCTAGATTTACTTCAGGTTAATTCAGACAGTAGTTGTCACTGTTTTACCAGATGTTTTGCTACAGTTCATGAAGGACAAAGGGAAGTTAATAAGTAACCTTTCATTTGATGCGAGTTGTGTTTTGATAATGAAATGTTTTACGAAGTGAAACTTAACATATCAGGAGCAAGATGGTGTTTATTCACAACAGAAGTATACACTAAGTTTAGTGCAATGGAGCACAATGATTGTTAGTAACTTGTGGTCTTGATGGAGTATGCATTGGTTTTTGGCGCATTTGTTGTAGTTTTTTTTAGCTTGGGTTGATACAGTGGTTGTTGAGGACAAAACTGAGGCCATGGTATTCTTTGGAATATGATCTGATCCATGAAGACCCTATGTATTTTATGGCATTTGGACTTATAGATTTGAGGTCATGTAGTAATATGTTTGTGTTCTCCTAAAAAACAAATAGTCAAAAGTTCACATTTAGTAGATGCATGCATCTAAACTTTGTCTTTCTTTTTCGGAAAAAGGAGCAAAAATATTACTACTATCCAAGTTTTTGTCTAAAAAAAGGAATTGTTTTCCCAAAAATGAAAATTTGCTGAAGAATTATTCAACAACGGTCCATTCAAGATGTAGATGAATTTGTTTCTTCATCAGAACAAATTTGGAGAAATTATGCATTACATCATTCGCTCTGCAGTGAATGGGTGCCGTCAGAATGAGCGTTCAAACAGCTGATAAAAACATCACCATAATCCACACAATTTCAGTCCATCAATTATTGTCTTGGGAAGCGAAAAGCTGTGTGTTTGTAAGAAACAAATCCATCAAGGCATTTTTAACTTTAAACAGTTGCTTCTGGCTAAAATATTCTCATATTGATGGCACCCATTCACTGCAGAGGATCCACTGGTGAGCAAGTGATGTAATGCTAAATCTGTTCCAATGAAGAAACAAATTTATCTACATCTTGGATGACCTGAGGGTGAGTGAACTTTCAGCAAAATTTAATTTCTGGGTTAACTATTCCTTTAAATCTCCTCCCTGATTCTAACTTCTTTCCTTCAAAAGGAAATATGTCAATTTGGCAAGAAAGACTGCTTGTCAAGCAATTTCATGGGGTCTTTTACATGCCATAGCTTTACCACAAAGATCAATGACTGATACTGAAGCTGTGTGGGGTGTGTTTCCCGATAGTTTGGATGATTAAAATAATCCTCCTGGGATTTGTGTGATAATATTTTGTCCTTTATCATTAATTTCACTCAAAGTAGAACAATTATACCTTTGGTAACGTCTGCACGCAATCCACCTCGACATGTTAAATTATTGCAATAACAAGCAGTTATAATATTCTTCTATGATCAAGCTCACAAGCACAGACTTGCAGCGACAGTGTAAGTATTAAAGCAAAGAAGTGTCTCTGATCTGACCGAAATTGCTGCTCGCTCATGGATGTAATGTAGGTTCGTTCGCATCGAAAATCATTGCCACATTCCTTTATATCCGCGACTGCTCATCCGGGGCCGTTTGACCTTATTAATTTGTTGCACCGTGCAGTGTTTAGCGTCTCTCGTTTAGTCACACCTCTAGTGCTTAACATGCTGGGCGATAAGCCAAATCCCTCCAGCATGGCCCAGAATTGCATGCCTGCAGTCCCAGCCCTTGGTCTTTTTTCTTTGTTTTTTGGGAGAGGGTTGATGGTTTATGTGAAGGGTGTGTGTGTGTGTGTGTGTGTCGTGCACAGCAACGAGAGTTTGTTTTGCCTAATTGGGGAGGCTGGTAGAGATGCTGACATTAGATGTGTGGGAGATGTCTTTAATTACCGAGGTGGGGTCACATTGACACATTTGCAGTATCTCAGTGCTAGAGAATGCCAAAGTAGCGTCAAGACTTGATACCGGGACTTCTTTTTCAGAGTGCAACCGATACCAGACGCAAGACTCCACCCTCCCATGGGCTCTGCCTCTGAGCTAATCTGGTTAAGTGTTTTTTTTTAGGTTTTAAGTGGTGTTTATGTGTAGTTTCTGTGTCTCCCGAGCGCATAATGTATGATGAAATATGTTGTAAATAGAAAGATGCATAATATACGTTTGCTTTTGTGGGGTTTGGAGCTGTTTTAGTTTTGCTGTGCGTACAGAATTGAAAGTAAGAGAAGGACGAGTCGGTTTGGATATTCTGGTCTGATTATCACATGCTCATGTTGCTTTGATAAGATAGAGAAACCGTAATCTTGTTTCAAGTTAGAAGACAACACCCAAAACCCTCAAGCCCATGACAACCCCTCTGTTGTATCCATGGCAACAGAGATGTCTTTAAAGCTCTGTGAAGTCTCTAGTTTGTCTAAAGTGCTATGCTGTTCACCTTTTATTGTTTTTTTTTCAGTTTGATATTCTCTGTTTGCCACATTTACACTAGGCAACTTTAAAAGATAGATAGATCTGTTTTTTTAAAACAAATGTTTGCATTGTGATATTTTCAATTAAGCACAATTTCCCCCAAAATGTAATTACATTAATGCAAAAAACTCTTTCTCATTACTATAATAGAATAAAAATTTGAAGTAATATAATATAATTTAATATAATAATATCCATGACCTGTAAATCCATGATGGCTTTTAATAACATAATTCAAATTACAATTTATACAATACAATAGAGCTACAATATTCTAATTTTGTTTATTACTTTCTGGGTAAAATAATATAATAGTGGAGGGGGGAAATATTATACTATAGTATGATATAATACTTTATTATAAAAACAATATACTATAAAATATTATATTAGAATATTATCATTGCATTATACTGTATAAATCACCAATGATATATTAAATGAAATCTAATATAATCATTGGTGAGTCTCTCCTGAATTTTAGAATTTTTATCATAGATTATATTGAAAGATTCTATATGATTTTAATATTGTTGTTGTTACTTGTATGTTTTTGTATAGGCCTAGTGATTGTTTCGTAAGCAAATGTTATATTATTGTTAATGATGCATTGAAATGATACTGTTAATGTTGCCATGAATATAGCCATTGTTGCTGATATAGCGTTAAAACATAAATAAATAAACATTGGTGATATATACTGCATAATGCAATGATAATATTCTAATTAATTTAAATACATTTTTATTTATTTCATATTAGAATTTAATATTATCCATGATGCTTTTATAATATTCTATATTAGAATTTATACATTACTATTACAATGTTTGTATTTATTTATTTATAAGAAAATGGGCTTAATAGTCATAAAATAATAAAATAAATGCTAATACAATATTTTTTTTCTTTTGATTTAGTGGATAAATATGACCCGTATTTTCATTTCACTCATTTCAGTTTCATTATGAGCAAACTTTATATATTGTCATTGTAAAGACACCCTCTGTTTGTTTTCCTTTCAATCTGTTTTATCAGTGTTGTCTTGATTGTCGTTTAGCGCTGGTGCCAGCCTCTTCTTCGTCAGGTGGTGTTTGACTTGTACTGCACTGCACAAGCCGAGAGTAGTAGTCGACTGTGTGTGTGTGTGTGTGTGTGTGTGGATGTGCCTCAGGGTTTGTGTGACTCGGATAAAGGAGGTGTTCTGGGAGGCCTATCCCAGCTCTGCCCAGTGTAGTGGAACAAAAGCCCAGTGTAGCTGTTTAAATTTGCCATTCTCTCCTGGATAAAACTCAGACAATGCTCTGATCTCATGTTATTCATGTTACAGTCTTGCTTGGCACCCCAGTGCTCCACAACAAGCATTGGTAGAGTGCTCAGTCTCAGGATGGGCAGGGGACACACATACCATTGAACCAATCCGTCCTTTTTACAGGTTCCGGTAGTATCAAGCATTGCCACGGCCCATGGCATCCTGTTGCAATCTACAACTGACGCAAGAGCTAACATTCCTTAATGGTGATCAACTAAATGTCTGCCTTTGACAGTGCAGTTTGACTGGTATTCATGAAGGTTCCTTGCTGTATAAGTATTCCCAGATACAGTATAGACTTTGAGCTTGACGGAGGATAGAATGGTGCCAGTTTAGATAAACAAAATCCAAAGCCATTTCCATATTAGGCAAAAATGGCAAGGGCCAATCTAATATTTACACATGACAGGTGTAGAACATATAAGTTTTCAGGGCATGTAGTATTCATAGTCATATTTTATACAATTCAACCATGAAACCATTCATTTTGCTTTTGTAAAAAATAAGTAGTCATTTAATACCGAGTTATTATCCTAAGCCAGGGGTTTTCAAACTTTCTGACTTTCTTTTTTTGATTGTTAGAGCAGCTGAGAGATTTTATTTTATGTTCTGTGGGAGCAGCTAAAAGTAAGTGAGGTTTTAAAAATATTTAAACATATTATTCCCATTCCCTTTCACCTTTTTGATCCATTGTTAGGACAGCCAATACATTTTAATTAAATTAAATTAAATTTTTTATTTTATTTTATTTTATTCTCTTTCTTTTTTCCATTTCTTTTCACTTTTTTGATCCATTGTTAGGGCAGCTGAGAAATTAAATTAAATTATTTATTTGATTATTTCTGCACTATTTTTCTCCAGGTAGAAAACCCCTGTCCTTTAGCCTCAGTGACACGTGGGGAAGCGTGACGTAGTTACGAAGTGGGTTTTAAGTAATGGATTCACCAGATGGAGAAGGTGGCGGCCAACAGCCATT